GTGGTGCTGAGAGGCAGGGGCGCTGTGGGTGCTTGGGCTGATTCATGCGTCAGCCGTGTTTTATTTTGCCCTGGCCTTTCAGAGCCGGGCCTCCTCTGAACGTTGAAACTGACATTTGACAGGTTTCGACCATGTCAGGAGTCATGACTTTGGAAATCTAGGAAACACTCCAGCTGGTTTTGTGGGTTAATTAAGACAATTATTTGACTAACGTCTCATTACTCATTTGAAAGGTTGATATACTTATTAGACCATTTCCCTCTTCCTGTGAATGCTATGATGTCAAGCTCTATATCAAGCACAGTATTTTCCCCTGTTATTCTGAAATCACAATTACAATACAAGGCTCTCAGTAAAAATAATCATAAAATTATGATAATTCATAAGTTGCACATGATATGTGTTACAATTTAATGAAACTTTTTTTTTTTTACAAAAATATTTGCTTGTTTAACCACTGCCTTGCACAAATTGGTTATGAGATAAATTGTTAAAGTTTAGTGAAGAATACCAAAAAGAAAGCAATATATCAATACAGCAGTCCCTAATATTGATACTGCTCCACAATATATTGATATTTTGCCTCATGCATGTTCTAAAGATTCAGCATCTGCCTTCCATTTAACATATTAATTTAAGATAGATTTAACATCAGATGCTTTTCTTCATTCAACTTTCTCCAAGAAGCCTGACTATAGCACAAGAATACTATACAAAATTAGTAAAACTAATCCCTAGGAATTTAATATAATAACAAATAAACACAATTAATAGGAAAAAATTTGCCCTGTAACTAACACTACTACTCTATTGCTAACACATAAGCTCATTTTAGCCAGTAATTAGAAGGTACCCTCAGGTTTCACACTTGGTTGGGCTGTAATCCTGTACTAACATGGACTACAGCTTTTCCACTCTCCCCAATGGACACCCGCATGCACAGAGGAGACAACTCTGCCATTCACCTGCTAACACAGTTGGCAGGGCTCCAATTATCCTGCGCTGACGGCACGACATAGAAAAAGAAAACTAATTTGGCTTGGCATGAGAACATTCCAGATGAGTCAGATTTTAATTTGATTTGTTCGCTGATGGTAGTTTGAGGAGTGAAACTCAAGTAATCACAAAGCTTATGTCAGCCACAGTATCAGGGCCAGGCTGAACTCTTTAACACAGAGGAGGGCCATGTTATCTAAATCTATGATCATTCAGCAGCTATTCCCCAACATTTAACTTACTCTTGAGTCATATGCTGTAATTAACAAATAACTGTCTAATTAGTTCAGGCAAGATCAAAAAAAGCTGTGGGTAATGCAAGTAATTTAAATCTCAACTGACTCAAATCACATGCCATTAATAGTGATTTGTTTACAAAATAGTGAAATAAAAACAACAAGATCGTGTATATATACAGTCTATGATCCTCATGCAACAATTTCCATTTGTCTGGAACTGTGGTCTAGGTAACAGAAATATAGTTAAGTATAGGAATTTCAAAATCATGCAGAAGGTCAGGCAAATTGCATTCAATACTCCACTGATAAAGTTACAAATACTATCAATTAAAAAGAATGGAGAGGTTTCCAGTTGCATGTGTGGTGTGAGTGTGGCACAGATGCACAGACACGACAGGGCTGCTGTTCCCAGGGGTGGTGGGGGTGGGGTGAGGCAGTTGGGGACGAGGGGGGTGTATTGAGTGGCAGGCCTCATTGGGGTTTCTCCTGTCCAGCCTGCATCCACCAAATAATGCTACCAAGCAAAGTGGGTCAGGAGCAGGGGCAGGCTGTCAGGCATGGCATTATGAGTAGTTGTGTGTTCAAAAGACAACGTCATTTTGTTGGTAAAACTGCTGTGCAGTAGAATTCATTTGAATGGACTGCAAACAGCTAGGCAAAAAGCAGTCAAGTTAGGCTAAAGGTAAACACCACGTTAATATAGGACTGGGTAATAGGCCAAATAATAAAACACTGGACTCTTATGAAGGGAAGCTCTTTACAGTCTCGTTCTTATCATCTCCTATTATTTAAAACATTGTAAACTGCCTTCAATTGCATTTGTATAGTTATCTAACTGTAACTGCACAATAACCCTGCTTTGCAAATAAGAAATTCAGGAGTAAACTTGTTTCATAATATTTCTCAATTTCATGATTTTTCTGTTTTTCAAAATCTTGATTCAATCAGTTCAATTTAATTTAATTGCCCAGTCCCTATGTTAATACAAGCTATTCTTCATCCTTCAAATTAGGTTACAGGTGGACAATAGATTGAATTATTCATATTATGCATTTTGTCTTGATGGTCTGCAAAATGTCGGATAGACTATTAATAACAAAAATGCTTTTGAGTAAATTTACAGTTTAAATTTAGACCTAAACAAATACTTTAAAAAAGCACATTTTGGCACATACCTGTTGGATTGTGAAATATTTTTTATCAAGATATAATTTTTTTCCATTATTGCCCATAGATATTTTGGTGAGACATTTATGTAGAGAAATAACAAAATACAAGAAACAGTAAGTGAACTGAATCAGGAAATATACAAAATGTTTAAGTGTATTATGTGGCAATAAGAACCAGAAACAATGGTAAAAGAAGACCACACATATTTATAAATAACACCTTGTACCTTGTAACTCCTATTCAGCAGAACAATCTTACATAAAGTTTCTGAACAGTTAAGCAAGAATCTAATCCCTGTCAGTTTGCTTTAGATTACAGGATTTCCAAAAGGTTTTAATTTAATCTTCGTAGAGTTATTGTCATACCTAATAGTTTTCTTTAAGAGCAAATGGACTATACTAATACTGCAGCAGTTCATGTGAAGACTCTTTACACTTCTGTCTGCCATGATAATTACTATGTCGACTTATCATTCAATGTAGAAAGCTGGGATATAGAATATATTGTTGGGTTCAGTATTTATCTCCAGTACATTTTCTTCACAATAATGGGGAGATTTTTTATTATTTCAATTGTACGATAAGATAAGATTTGAGCTGTAGAGGACTGAATAGGTAACTTAACTGCGGCTAATTATTAGTTCATTCTGCTGTTTGACTGTTGCAGCTCAGGTCATTTAATGACACTATCTATTTAAAAAGGGTTTACTTGGATTATCTTTCTTTATTGTTATTGTGTCAGTGGCATAACGCAGTTTCAATAATATGGTTTATCGCACTATATCTCTATAGCAATAAATATCATGTGTCAAATGTTGTTATTGTGAAAGGCCCATTTACAATGAAAGAAACAGCAAGCACTGATTACATGAACAAATGACTAAAAGACTAACTGTCCATTTGGCTATTGTTGCACTTGCATAATCACACTTTTCTGCAAAACTGTGGTCACACTGGCTCTTCTCTGATTGGCAGCTCCTCTCACACCTCTCATTCTTGCTCTCTAATGTTTTCTGCTTCTACTTGATCTCACTGGAAAATGTCTCCTATACTGTAAAAGATGTGGTTCACAAAAATAAATGTACCAATGACTCCACCAGCATTCTTTAGAGATAACCTCAAAGAAATACTGTAGATACCAGGCTGGGAAAGATTAGCTGGAATGCTTAAAATCTCTCCTTGTCATGTTTAATGCATACTTGTGAAGACAAAAACTAATATCAAGGTTTGACCGTTCCTAATCTCCCTCCATGCACTTGAGTAAGTACCACAGTAGTTACTTCCAAAGTCAGATGGTCTTCTATAAACATACATGTTAAGAAAACAATGCAGAAGCTTAAAAAAAGAACCATTTTGCTATATTTATAGTTAAGAAAAGCTATAGAATAATGTTTTATTTTGACAGATGAGGCTTTAGACACATTTTTATCTATGAAAATCATTATACGAATAATATTTACCTACTAAGATAAGAGATTTTTTGACATCTTCTGTCATTAACAATTACATAATACTAATGGCAAAATGACAATTGCATTCAGCTGCTGCATTATTCATTTTGCATAGGTAGGCAAAATACATAACAGACAAATTGTGCAACCCTAGCAACAATTTCATGCTAGCTATGCTTTTAAAAGTCAATTTACCACAAAAACTTTGGCAAAACATAATGATCGGCATATATTGAATCCCATTATAGGAGTTGCATCCATTAGTGCAAACACTAAAGACAGCAGCTCATCATAAAATGCATTAAGGTGAGCCCTGTGAGGACAATCAGACCTTATACTGCCTAAAATACACCAGATAATCACTAAAATGGACTAGACAAACATGATGATATCGAATTTACTATGTTTCAGTTATCTGCTATGTTGAAATTGTGTATTGTGCTTTAAAGAAAATAATAAATGTCATACATTACAACCTTCATCTAACATCACAACTGATCTACACCGTCTCATACCAGTTCTTCCAGTATCAAAGCAAATGCCGTGCACAGTTCAAAATTATGGCTCTCACTCTGCTGCGGTCTTCATGTTACTAGTCAGCTCAGTCATATCCCATAAGGGAAACAACTTGACGAACCGGAAAATCTGTATTCAGGCAATCTTATGTTATTCTCTTGATATCAAAGAGAAGAGAGCTGATGTAAATCCTTTCATAACAATAGATGTACAACAAAACTGTGCACACATAAGGCATTTGTAATAAATCATATAGAATGACTAGAGACACCAACACTAACCTCTTCATCACCACTGGCATTGATATATTAGCGACCACATTAACAAAGCTGGTCAGTCACACTATTTGGGGGATGCATATTCTACAGTGTTACTGTGAAGAGCTAGTATAAGTGTCAAGTGAGAATATCTTTCATGTTAATGTGCAAATGTCAAAAATATAAATATATACGTGTATATATAAAATAGATGAGATCGCATTTAAGTGCATCAGCAAGAATTTCTTATCCACTGGGAGTAATCGCTGTAGTATGCCTTAATAATAACCTGTCACCATCAATTTGTTGTGGTGTACGACTACAATAATAAAGGAAGTTGAGAAACGACAAAACCAGTAGTAGAGATCTTACCTTCCCAGCTCATCCCCAATCTCATAAAATTCCTCTACATTTTCTTGGTTGAAGACAGTCATGGTGCCCAGGCACTTGCTTGCAGCTCTTGACCGCAGGCTTGTCGTCCGAAGGGGCTCTTCAGAGCGGCACCATCCCTACCAGCAACCTCCAGTTTGGGCGAGGTAAAGCGCGGCACTCCTCATTTCAGAAGCTTCTGGATACAAGTACCAGAGTAAAAAAATATCTGTTAGACTTACAAATCTTTAGTGAGTTGATTCAAGTGGGAAAGCGTCCGTCAGTCAACAAAAGGAAAATTGAGTGATCTGCACCTCGACTAGGGCGACGTCACGACTCCAAAAAGCTGATCTTTTCTTTTACGACTGTTTCGGTTCGTCTGCGTTACTTCCCTTGAGGATAATAATAGAATGGGTAACGAAAGCAGTGCTATACCCCCACACGTATGAATGCAGACTGGTTGTAAGTGTAAATAAGCCACTGCAAAGCTTGGTGTAGCCATGGGAAACACTGGTGCTGCGCTAACGCACTCCGCCTCCTCCTCAGCGCGATCTAAGCACAGGGGAAGTCACGTTAGCCTCCTATCGTTTTTAAATATGACCTGGACAGACCCGTACAGGTGTTTAACCCAGTTTGTCAGAAGGAAAATTGTCGATCCTACAGCTACATCTTAGAAAACTCCAGATGCTTTTTTTATTATTATTATTATTTTTTTTACCACGAATAAATATTGTTACGCTTTTATAGTCCCATAATTTCTAAGCTAACTGTGAATGATCAACGTGAACGCGAAGGAGTGCACTAAGCGCGCTGCCTGATTTAAGTTAAGGATTAAATGTATCATAACAGGAAGTAAAGTCTTACTTTGGGATCCGCTGTGTTCCCCCGCAGCAAAATGTACCTGTTATTTGAGGGAGGCTGGACCCAGGTTTGATTCTCGTTAGACAAAATGCTGGCGTGAATGGGAGAAATCAGTAAGGCAGTCTGTTGAACTGGTTGTGTTCATAACAATCGGAATCTTTTCCATTTTCAACTTATTATTGACCTCAGATGACAGAGCATTCATTACTGAGCTATACACAATTAATAGTCTATCAAATACAATGTTGAATAAAATATAGAAATGATATTGAAGGCAACTTCTAAATGAACATCTGTTAATAAAATAGTTTTCTATTTTACTAAGTAAACCGTATTTTCACGTACTGATTTGAACGCACCACCGCTGTGACTACTTTGATCGCACGAGGGCAGCAAATTTCACATTTTCTGCTTAATAGCAGCATGTTTGAGCAGTTTTTGTAGATTTATTGTCCTTTGGCGTCAACCTCTGAAGTAGGTTGCGCACTGAACCTTAATATTGTATACTCTATCGAAAAGTATGCCTAATATTTAGTTTTGTGTTTTGTTTTTGTATTTCCCCCCGTTTTATAGATATATACATATATATTTCAGCCTGTAGCTGGTGGGGGACAATACGGCTGTAGGACAAATGGCGTTCAGCGTGAGACTGACTTTCAAACGTAAAACATTGATAATGTACGCTTAAAATGTGTTATTCCCCCACCTGCTGCTAAGCAGTTGTCATTACAAGTACAGTTAAACTTTGAATTGTAGCCTATAAATAACGTGGTAAATCATACAATATTTAGAAAATGTATATATTTTATTGCAGTTTAAATAGATACAAAATAATATAATTAAGCAACATAACATTGCCAAAACATACATAAGGAACCATGTGGTTCTTTTCCTCCTTTGCATATGTGAATTCAGATTGTCATGCAAATGAACTTATACAAATAATTATAGATTACATATAGCTGGGGAATAACCAAAAGAGTAAAAAGATAACCTGGGCAGTGACATTTTCTAATTAAAAAATAAAAAAAAATAAAAATGTATCTAAAAACACAGGTACAAATTTGCTTTGTATATTTTTCCTTCATGGATACCATGAAATGTTGGAATGTTTGGCAATCATCCAATTACATTGTAGAAAGCATTAATAAAGGAGCATTTTCAGAAACACTCACCTTGAACTGTAAAAACATTCTTTATATATAAATTAGTTAGGCCTTATTGACATTGCTCTAATGTATGTGTATGATAAAAATGTTTCACATACACAAAAATGTGCAAATTAGCTGGTTAGTTCCCTCTTGACTGAATGTTTAGGTCTGTGCAGTCAGTCTGTTAACAATTAGGCCTTTGGTGTGGGAAATGGTCTTTCTGTTTCATTTTAAACTCTGTCAAACACAAGTTTTTAATGTTTTCCTGTGAAGACAAAGCACAACAAGGCACGTTATATAAGAGCACCTTCCTAGCTCATTATTCAAGTTTTTTATAACAAAAACTTTTGTCAAAGAGAGGGATTCCCAATAGTCCTGTACATCTGCAGCGATGTCACCTCCACATTATTGACCTTGGCATTCTGAGGCCGTCCTGTGGGACTGTACCCAGCTGAGCGGCCCATTGGGCTGAAGCCAGTGGTGCGACCTGCGTGAGTGAAGCCAGAGGAGCGAGACACAGCCGGACGCCGCAGGAACCTGTTTGAAGTGACCAGATCTCCATAGCCCTGTGCGTGTGAGAAGGCATATCCAGACCGACGAGAACTCGTGCGACGAATACGTGTGCGCCGAGTTGGAGGGGGCAGTTTGGTTTTGGCCTGTCTCACCTTAAACATCACCTAAAGTTTATCCACATAGTTAGGAACATTGTACAATGTACAGCAGGCATTTGAAAGGCATTTGTAGTGTGTAGTTTCATATGTACCTTGTCGTTTATAGTGGGGTAAAGCTGAACCATCAGGAAGCGGTGAGTGAGCACAGGCAGAATACACAGGAGTGATGTAAGGACTACAGTCAGCCAAATGTTTGGCTGGTTAAAGGTGTTGCGAGCTGTTCCTACATAGACACATATGGTATTAATGTTAACTAATGCTGCAAAAAGACACTACAAATGCAGAAGAGCATCAGCTCAGTGCTTACCTATAAACGGGAATGCTGATGGTAACATGATAAATAAACCATTGCTGTACATTGTGAAAGTAGTGGCAAAATACATGACTAGACTCCCCATCACAAAAACGGTGTTTACAGCTGTCCAGTACGTCATTTCAAATCCCAACTGTAAAAGTCACAGTGATATAATCAATATAAAATTGGCAAACTGCATTTTTTTAATAGCGTAAAAGTAAAAATATAGGTAACTGCATCTCACCTGAATGGTAACAGCAAACATCAGGCAGGTTTGGGTTAGAACGGCAAACGACTGGTAGTCTGCCACATCTTTCCCATCATCCCTTACTGTGTCAAAAATGGAGAGGTATGGGATGAAGAACAAAACCAAGGAGCTATAACAGCTGTGGAGGGCACACTTAAAGAAGGCCTTTTTACTGAAGTACAGGTTGAGCTGACCAGGGACATAGAGCTGAGGATGCTGAAAACTCCATGCGTCATTCACATCCTAACCAGCAGGGGGTGCACAAATACAATGATTTTCTTTATTATAGTAATAATGTCATCGTGCCAGCAGTTTATTCAGTCCTGTTTTCTGAAATGTGGAACAAATAGGCAAAAGTTATTTTTACCTGTTCAAATAGACTCATACCCAGCACAGGTAGTGCCGTGTAGACCAGATTGTAGAGTGTGATGAACCACTCATCATAGACAGTCTGAAAGTCAAAATAAAAGTATATTTAATATCACTTGGATATTATAAAATATTTTTAATATATTTTTACATTTTGTCTTGCTTTTCAGACAGCTAACAAAGTAGGCCAGTTTCTCATCCTTCCAGTTTTTGACATACCTGGGCAGAGAAACCGCAGAAGAAGCCGTACCAGAAGTGTACAAAAGTGAATGTGAAGTTCTTGTAGAAGAAGTAGCGCAGAAATTTGCACATTCTCAGATAAGACCAGCGTCCATGCACCAGCAGGAGGCGCTGCAGGAATCTGAACTGGGCAAAAGAGTAGTCACTGGACAGCACAGCCTGCATGCCCTCCTGACCAGAGATGCCCACACCAATATGAGCCGCTGAGGGGGTAGATACAACAATGTGTTCTGAATTATTAGCGTCAAGGCTTCATTCTACTAATGACACCAAGGCATGTTTTTCTATTGTGAGAAAACAAACCTGTGTTTTATAAAGAAATTGACATAAAGACATTTATTTTAGCAAGTGGTTCATGTTTATACAACTGGGTTTCCTGTAATTATGGTGACCACCTCAAACTGTAGAAAAGGGGAAACATGGGGGGGGTGGACTGGAATATAATAAACATTAGCCAATACACCAATTTTTTGCTAAAATACCATGAATACCATGTGTTCTATATAAATCTAACTTTTTATACATCTCATGTGGCATCAGTGAAAAAGTGGGACACTTTCTAAATAGGTGCCATTGACGTACTGGGGTCTACATGGCTGTGCAGGGACAGGTAATCACCCTACTTCCTGTTATTAATCAGCGTGTTGTTTAGCAGATAAAGTGCTATTACCTTTGATCATGCTGACATCATTGGCTCCATCCCCAATGGCCAGTGTAACCGCACGTTTGTACTTCTTGACCAGCTCCACCACTTGAGCCTTTTGGAGAGGAGTGACTCTGCAGCAGATGACTGCCTTACACATACAAGCTGTTCTCAAAAACTCCTTTTCCATGCTGCGTTCCAGAGCATAGGCCTGACAAAAAATAAAAAGGTGTAATTAAAGTTTTTCAGATAAAATGACATGACACAGCACGACACAGAATGAGTCATACCAGGCTGTGTCCATTGATGACTAGTCCAAACTCGCCATTGACCACCTCGTCCAACATTACGTTGGGTCTTTTAATACTGCTCCTCTCTGGTAGAAACACTGAATCGTCAACTGCATCTGGTTTTATGGAAGTTCTGGCATTTCTATTTGAGAAAAAAAAAAATTATTAATGGTGTAGTAAGTAACTTCTAATGGGGGGTCTGCCACCTGTCTTTAGAGATGTTCTTGCTTTGCCTGGAATATTCTGCAGTAAGGCATTAAACTTATCTTGCATTTATTAAACTACAGATGTTTTTGTTGCTCAGAAAATACTGAAAAACTTAAATTCTTCCTGTTGGCAGGGTCACATCTCCAAAAGTCTGACCTGTATCTTGTTGTATTGCCTGGAGATGAATATGTATAATATCATGTTATGGACATTCCCAGGCAAAGCAATAATATCTCCATGGAGACAGGCACCAGAAAAGCTACATAGTACATCTTTAACATATGTGGCATATGTTTAGCTATTGGTCAACCATGAAAGACAAGCAGTGAACTCTGACCTCAGCTCCAGCCTGACTTCCTCCGGGGAGTTTCCTGAGATGATGAAAACATCATTCATCTCCTCCCGCAGCAGGTTGCAGGAGTAGCCAATGTTTTCTGCCGTTTCTGCACACCAGAATTACAATCAATACCTTGAAAACATTTAACTGCTAACTGAAAAAGAAATGTGATCCTGGTACATCTGTTGCTTTCCAAATGTGCCGATGTGGCAGTGCGATTACAGAAAGTCACGATTGGGTGATTTTTTTATATATATATATTAATTTTGTACAATTTTTATTTTAGTATATATAACAATACTATTTACTGTCAAGGAAAGGAAGTAAGTAAGGGTTTTATTGCATAGTTTAAACTACTTTTTCACTTTGGTCATAGCAATACATCTGTTTGAATCTTAAGGTCTTTGAAAAGTCAATAAGATTCAGTAAGTGGCTTTGCTTTTTTGTGGGGTCAAATCAAGTTCCCATATCTTTTTTTTGTTGTTACACAGCCCTTTGTATTGTATACAGTTTATAACAACTCCAAACACTATACCTTGCTTATCACCAGTCAAAACCCAGACTTTGATGTCTGCTTTGGCGAGCTGCTCAATGGTATGAGGTACTCCATCCTGTAACTTGTCTTCAATTGCTGTTGCACCAAGTAGCTACATGCACACAACACAAAGATTACAAACAT